CTAGTATTCACCCCGCATTTCATTTATTGCTGTTACATTAATTTTGAAATTTCAATAAATACTTTTTAAAATTATCCGGTAAACGGATTTTTATTTTATTGGTCGATCTTGATCGATGATATAAATAATTTTTCGAAATTCAAAAAGTCTTTATAATTTTCTAGTTCTACGTATCTCTTGATAATATGAATAGATTGAACTATTCCTCAAACAAAATGATTCTGATCTTTAAAGTAAATAATTAGTTAAGAAATTACATCTAACATCTTTGAAGATTCTTTTATGCTATTTTTTGTTTGAACAAATTTTATACTGGGAACGCTTAGTGCAGCAATTAAACTGTGATATACGTTCCAAACAGGAACGAGTTGCGTTTAATAGTTCTATATATTTATGAGGACTATTTTTATCTATTATAGGTAAAATTTTAGTTTCTTTGAATAATGGCTTCAAAGAAAAATAGATTAACTCTTCCTAGTGCTATTCTGGGAAAAAATCGATGCGTCGACGTATCACGCCTTTGTTTAATCGTACTCATTTTCATGAAATCTTGGAATCGAACTTATCTTCACATAATATTTTCTTTAAAACAGTTTCTCAATTATCTCATATTAAAACTGTGTAATATAAAATGGTATGGTTACAAGTATAACATACAGTGATTCGAAGTCACTACAAAATCAAATAATTGTTTGCTTACTTTTACATGATTTGGTAAAATCAGGAAAAAATATATTTAATATTTGAGTATGTTGTCTATACTACTACAAATTTGGTAACATATTTTTTAAACTTACTTTATTGATTTTAGAAAGATGAATAATTTTTGTATTTCACATTTCTTTCGAACCTCCAATAAGTTTCAAGATATTTTGTAAAGTATGATTTTCATCCTCAGATTTGGAGGTTATTTTTAATTTTTAGTATTTTTATTTCTATCAGTACTTTATTGCATAATAAATGTTAGATTGTATTTCATTGTAATATGAATAACTCCCTTACTTTACGGGAGTATTTTTATGTTTTGTGTTAAAAAATTTGCTTCTTTTGATCTAGATACCATCTTCCCTCAATTTTTCTAGGTAAAGTACATGAAACAATTTCCGAAGAATTGCTGGATTTACAAAGAGGTTTCAAGTCGAACGCGCATATTATACGGTACATGGTTGCAAAACGTAGAAAAGCAAACGATTGATGAACAGAGACATGGAAAACCTACCAAACAAACCTTGAATGACTTTACTTTAACCGTACTATAGTTTCACTATCAAAAGGAATTCCAATTTTATTAAAAATATAAATAAGTAAATATATGCAACGTATTTCCATCTTAATTGATTAGGTGAAAATCTATCCTCATTTCTGTTCATCTGATCTAAACGATTCGTGCAAGTGGCAAGGAATTAAATCTATTAGAACGTTAAAAGCTTTAAATTTTTTAATGCGAACTTACTGTTAGTATCTGAAGAATTATTGGTGAGATGTGGATGTTTAGGATTTTGGGAATACTCAATTATCAAACAATAAATATTCAAATTTACTTGTTTCGATCTTTCGCCTCTAGATATCTTTATTTGGAGGAAATAAGATTGAAATTACAGCACAGTTGGTGATTTGTACTTTTAATGAGAAGTTTAAGTTCCTCTTAAATATGAGGAGACGTGGACGTGGAAAGTGGCTGGAACTTGACTCCATGCTAAAGGTAAATGCCTTTACACATTTTTAAATATAACTATAAATTCAGATGTTTTATTTAAATTTAGACAAATATGACTATAACTTTGCTTCTTATTTTGAACTATGATATTACTACTCAAAAGACTATATCGCATTCACCGATAACAGTATTAAACCGTTATCACTTCAAATATTGTATATTAAATTAATGTTTTAAGTTAGGTTTTGTAAATACATATTATATCTAAACGTGAATAAAAACTTGTACAAAGATTCAGTAACATTGTTCGTTGCTATTAAAACGTAAATGTTTTCTATATACGGTAAACAGGATAATCAAGTCCGTATTTTTCGCCAAATCAGTATCAACTCTCCGCCAGTAATACGGACCATTTATGGTCCCGTCGAAAACTTCATTGGTTAGTTCCCCCAAAACAGAGAAGTCGGACTGCCCTAAGTCTATCACATAAAAAATCTTGTAGTAGTAGAGATTAGACACCCCAAGTGTCGTTCTTCGTGGTCAGTTCAATTTCAAGTTCTAAGAAAATAAAATCATTTTTATAACTTCTTTTTTAACTGTCTTCTATACAACCACGTTGTCATTATTCATTTATTTAGAAAGAGAGAAAATTCTAAGTATATTCTATGTAGATGTTTACTCTATATAAAATGTAAAAGTCTGCAAAGGAAATGTAAACTGTTTGAAATTATCAGCACGAGTCTTACACGATGTTGTAGGGCAACGGGTTAATGGTCCATATTGCCGTCCGCGTCAGTGTTTTGGAACTATTCAAAACAGAACGGCAGCCTGCGAGGAGCACCGGACACATTATTGAACAAATTGTTCCGTTTAATATGTATATTTTGTGATTTGTTCGTAATTTATCTTTACGCATCATTTACAATTAAATTTTTCAAACTAATGGTTTACTTCACTTTCCACAGATATAACCTACTAAAAAATCTCGCCAATTGAAGCTTTAAAATAATTATACTGTTTCAAGGACTGACAAATCTCCTCGTATTTTTTTGAAAGATCATAGTCTTATGAATGAAACTCTGCAATATCTTTTACTAATATTTCCTTATCAGAAAGTTATGCAATTTTAATCGGAATCTTATTTTCTCATCACTTCATATAGAGACTTGGCAAAAATGTTATTTATACATTAAAATAAGGACTACAATCAATATTTTAGAATTTTTATACCCTCCACCGCGTTAGTGAAAAAGCATATTAACGGCGGAGGGGTAACTACTTTTGTTATATAATGTTTGTTTTTTCTGGTGTAGTATTTTTTCGAGTACTATCTTTATTCTCCAACTTATACGTTTAAATATTTAGTATAAATCATTATTAATTTCCATTAAAAGTATTAAATTTTACAATAGATGCAATTTTGTCTCATTAAAATATATGCACACGGGATATTGAATGTTCGGAGAATTTTCTCGTATTATGTTATGTTATGTTCCCTTATTAATGACTGATAAATCAAATTTATTAGCTATAACTGTAAAAATGGTAAATATCAAGGAATACTAGAAAAATAGTATTTCGTTGGATAGACAAAGTAAAACCAGAAAATCTGTTACTTAACCTCTTCAGGGCTGAATTTTTTTAGAAGAGATGTAAGTGATGTCGTCTGATTGCAGTTTATTTTGTTCAAACTGACATGGATACAGACGAAGACAGGTATGAAAAACGTACAAAAAAAGGAAGTGTCCGTTCGATGGACTTTAATGCTAAACTAAAACTAAATGTACACATATATACCAGTGTCCTTGAAAAAGTTAAAGAAAAAATGAAGTCTGGCTGACGTTTACCAAACAGTACAATGATTAAATTCGTGAACGGTAACAGAATATAATCTGGTTAGATGAAACAAAGATCAACTTATTTGCAATCTGTTTGGGTAAAGCGAAGTGACCGTGTAAAGAAGAATCACTGAAATCAATTAATGTAACTAAAACTAAAATTTGCAGGTCATTCATTATAATTATATTATTAATATTTATCTTTTTATTTCTGTAAAAAAGACGCTCGCTCATATATCTATATATATAATAATAATATATATACAATAATAATGAACAATTTTTTAATATAATTTATATTATTTTCATAATATAAACTGGGTAAATTGATACAGGTTTAATCGTCTGAAATGTTGGATTATCCGAACAACTCAATTTTCGGAATTACTGTACTCTGAGGTTGTTCGGATAATTGATGCTCTACTGTATATGCAATTACATACAATACCATTTGCTAAGTTCGGTAGGAAATATGCTTGTACCGGAAGCAGCAATATTAAAATAACCTTCTTAATGGAAATTCAGAGAAGTATTAAATTCAGTAATTTTTCAACACAACCGAGACTCAAAGTATGCAACCGGAAGCGATGAAGAGTGATTAACAAGTCATTTAATCACCTTTTGATTGGCACAAAACAATTGTGGATCGCCTACACTCCACTACCAACTTCATGTACTGAACTATGGTTCATATTCCAAGAATAATGAAATACGATATCATCGAGCTATTACGTAAAATTGGTGAAAGATATATTGTATATGCTGAATAATGTCAACTTAATCATTCTAAAACACTGGTTGCTTTTAACCCGAATACAGCAAGGAGATTATAACATTACATTATAATACAGTCGGAACTTAAAACGATACCTCTATGACGTGAACATCTTTTGCCTTTTTTTACGATTTGCTTTACCGAGGTTTGACTGTAACATGTCTTTTATATTAAATGACAGTATCATACGACTAAAAAAGAATTTATTTCACTTGAATTTTTCTGAACATTGACCTTGAATTATACCTTGAACTTCAATGGTATAATTGTTGGATGCAGACAATACGGTTTTAGACGGCACACTTAAACAACTGTTAACCTTTAGAGCTATGTACCTACATTAGAAAAGGGAAGAAGATACCCGGCTGTGACATTTTGTCTGTCACACTACATAGTCACCTCGTAGGAGGTAAAAGCCCGTTTTCCATGAAATAAATTCGGTAGCAAAGTGAAATATTCATTAGAGGATCTGTCATCGTGAAATATCGCGCAGCCTCGGATAGGTGAACGAACAACTGAACTTGATCGAATAATTTCTCGAGAAACACGACTGTTTACCTGAAGGGTAAGGCATGTGTCATTGATACGTAAAGCACAAGTTCACGCGTTAATGCCGCGGTCGGTCTATCGGTGTTCCACGGCGTGGAAGTCGCTCCGTAAAAATCGTTCCGTGTCCTCCCCTCGTCTTTCAGGAATAGATATAGAAGGAGGAAAGTCGGGGGCGAGAGCGCTCGCGCACCAGGAGAATCAGTCTACGCAGCGAAGGCGAGTGCGACGGAGGCGTCGGGACGCCGGCGCAGTCGGCTCGATCGATTCCATGTTTCGGCGTGTGCTTGGAGATTGCAATTGGTGGCAAGAGGCACCAGCGAGTCTGACAGAGACGAACGGCAGCTCTGGCTCGCTAGGGTGAACAGAAGTAGCAGCGTAGTCCCGCGAGCGAACGAAAGAGAGAGGAAATCAGTGGATAACGGTGGAGGGGGAGCGAGTCGAAGAGAGTCGGGTTATCGGTGCGCGCGTGTGTCTTCCGTCGACGACGCGTACGACGGGAACGTGCGGCAAGACCTGCGGATCATCGGCAAGCTGACGGATCCAAGGGGAAGGTTTGTTTCGAGCCTTCAAAATCAGCCTCGCCCCGAGCCCCTCGGTTAAAAATATTCACGCAACACGTACCGGCGAAGAATGACGACGTTGCGGATTTAGAAGAGGGAAACGTAAGCTGAAAACGAACGTCTTCTCGAGCCCGGAATCGATCGCGCGAACAACTCTTGTAAACGCGTTCGCTGTTCCATGACCCAGATGTCGTTGTGTGGACGGTGCCCGGTCCGAAATCCACGAACCGCGTTACTCGACATGGACTCGTTTCGCTCGTTTTAGGTGCTGCTCCTCGGGACCCAGACCCGAACCGACACTGAACTTATCCAGAGCCCGATACTGACCCCATGGATGGACACCGGTGCGACGATGAGAACGCGCTCGAAAGAGGAGTCGGTATTGCGGTAAGGGTGCTTCCTACTATGTCTCTCTTGCAACTCTTGCCACTTTTGCCACTCTTGCCACGCTTCCCGGTCTTACGCCTTTTCTCCTAGTCTCGATTGTATCGAAGTCTTCCTCTTTCGTCGATTCCTCGTTCGTGTTCAGCCTCGGACACGGTTGGACATTGTCGTCGCTTGGACCGGATTGTCATTGTCGTTGTCGTTGTCGTTGCCGTTGTCGCTGTCGCGTGGCTCTTTCACTCGACGAAACGGCTCCGATATCGATTTACGTTCTTGAAATACCTAGTTGCGAAGGACCGGTACTGGTATATACGCACCTATGTACGTATGTACTAGCTTGTCGAAATGGAGATCGAGGGACACTGTTTTTCTGGAAGATTTCTCACCTTCGGACAAGTCGAAACTAGTTTCGGATAGGCTAAAGGAATGCTGGAAAAATGTCTACTGATGTGATTCGATCTTCGGGCAATGTCAAAGGTTATCCGACAGTGACGTGTCGGGTAAGTGTACATACCTAGTGCCGTCTACTGACGTTCGAACGGTTCTCAAATGAAGATTCGTGTATAGCTTTTTTTGCATCTAATTAGTCTCGATGTAAGGAGAAATTAACCGTGTTTCGTGTAGCGTGGGTTGAATTCGTTGAAATCTACAGATCCATCGCTACATTAATTCGTGCATTTGTGAGCTATTCAAGTTACATTAACGTTTCAGTAATATGTTGTTTCATTACTTTTAATCGCATACATGTTTTCAAGACCATCTGCCAATCTTTTTTATTGAGTTCACTTAAGTTCACATTACTTACGCGTGTCCCCGTTTTGAACATGAAAATAATTTTCAAAATATCTTATTTTTCCGAGTTTACCGCATTAGTATCCTCGAAAACAATGGCTAAGTCGGTACCTGTACAATTTGTATGTCCTCTGTGATGGGTGGTATTGGGTATACCCTGGCAAAGACCCAAACAGACATTGTTTCCGTTGACGATGTCGCACGAATCGTTTAACTCGTTTGAGCACTTCATTAATTACATAAATGCTTTTAGTAAGCGTTAATGGATTCATAACATCTTGGAACTTATCTTTTATTGGGATTCGATGTCGTCACGGTTTATAGCACTTTCATGCTATTGAGATTTACCAAACTGCTACTACTTTGCTGGTCATTGCTCGAGTACTGTTGAGGTGTTAGGTATGTAAGCGATATTAAGTACGTTTACCTTACTGTTCAAACGTGTGCTGGCATATCGATAAGAATAAACAGTTAGCTTTCTAATAAGTTGTCTCAAGAAATCTTCCATTCGTTATCTGTAACGAGCGATTGATCGATAAATTTGATCGCTTTAATACCAGTGGTGTAACAGTTGCAAGATAAGTTTATTTATATGTAGCTTCTATGATTATCAATTTCCATTGATAAGTGTGCAAATTAATTTGCAGCGTTTGGACTGAATAGATTATAATTCGGTTCCAAATTTAAGTATTTTTGTGTTGTTTCGAAGTTTTAAGTTGCATCGTAATTATTTGGAAGTTACAATTAAAGTGTAAACCAAATTAAAAAGTCGGTTGGTGAGCATCGCATGATCTGAACTTCAAACATAGCAAGGCAGGATACAACTTTATTCATGGTGGCATGGTGACATTCAACGAACTTTTTACGCAAAAACAGGGCTACTGATGTAAAATAGGTTTTATGTGACAACAGTGAGTAAAGAAAATTATTAGATAAAATTGATCGAGCAGCAGCATCAACACCGAAACGTTAACATTTGTACCAAAAAGGTATTGTTGTGCATTTGGTGGAACATTAATAGTGCTATATGTTGCTATAATCTGATTCGACTGTTAATTCAAACTGTTACCAATAGCAAGTTGAAACGAACTGAATATACCTTCAGTAGTAGTGGTCAACTTATTTTGTAACACGACATAATTCCACTGCGTGTGGCGGAAAAAATCAAAGAAATTATTTGTTCCTTAAACTGAAAAGTTTTCCTGTGGTTTACTCATTGACAACAAAAACACCTGAGACTACATTGTAGATTCAAGAATACCACCATTCCTTCGGATAGATGTTACCAGGTGGCGTTTCTGTAAATAATGGTTCAATCTTGTTTCAAAGAACACTGAAGTAATTTGTACAGCTAACAATAATGTAGATATCTGCGTGATGATGGTGACTTTTAACTTTGATTGCTATGTCATATCAACGACCACTGCACCAATAGGGCATCTTGCAGGTAGTCGGGGTAGAGTTCATGTGGAAGCGTGGCAAATTTATGTGAAAAGTTGAAGGAAAAATGTACAATGAAATTGGTTCGCAAAATTGTGTCAAAGTTCCGGTTGACTGTGCGTACGGTTAAGTAAAAATTAATCTGTACGTCTGTTTATTAGATGTACACTAATTATTGTAATCGCACGTGTCTGGGAAACAGATATATATTTCTAAAGACATTTTAAGAGTATTTTTATGTCAGAGCGTTGGTTAGGAGATCTTCTATTTGTTTATAATCACTGTAATCCTCATCGTTATTTATATCGTCTCTCCTCTCGTCTTCATTACCCATTCGAAGCGATTCAGTTAACTTACATGTACTAGATATTACATGTTCTTATAATCGAAACATTCGCACATAATTAACTTCATAAAATGTGTCGTTGATTAAATCGAAAACTGTGTCACGCGCAGTATTTGAAGTTAAATATTGAAGAAGACAGTTTTTTAAACTCCAGGAGTCTCGATAAGATTTGACCAATTACGATTGTTAAGAATACCGACTTGCACGATTTTTCCGTTGCTTATACGTTGATGTCGGGGTTGGTAATCATCATGATTTCGTAAAAACAATGGAATCGTTCTCGATAATATAGGAACTTGTATTTGAAAAGTAGCTAGTGTAATTTTTATTGAACTCCAACCATTATGAGGGTGACAGAAGGCTTTAAATCGTATCTACAGGCTTTCGACATCTGAGACAAATCGTCGAATATAATAGACTAAGTGAATATCAAAGTAGAAAGAGAAGCAACTAAATGTTTTGTGTTAAATCTAACGTATTTAACGTGAAATTTACGTAGTTATTTTAAAATATGAGTTATTCCGGTATTGGTCGGTTTACCAAAATAATTTAACACTTTGACGGTCGCTGTCGTATAGGCGTCATTAAAGCCAACGGTTATCGACCAATGTCACCGAAATACATAGGTGTGATTTTGTAACGTCGTTTTCAAATAGCGTATAAAAATGATCTCAGATTGCGGATTTAATTTGCGTACGTTAACACGTTGCCCGTCATAGTGATCACCTATGACCGGCGCTTACAAATTGCTTGAAAACAATTAGAATATGTAAAATGATTGATGTAGAATACAAATGTTTAATAACATAAGTAGCTAGATATTAGTGTAACGTAATTAATAATTGCTTCTATTTATCTTTGTCGTGAAAGAATCACTTACTAATTAAAAATCATCACTGTATCGTATTTCAATTATTTTAATAAATATATTTATTAAAATATATTCGAACCACTGCGTAAACAGTGTGGGGGACGATCTAAAATCGACGTGAGATGCGTACGGCCTTAAAAAGTGTTAATATCGACGACTTGCTGTTAGAAGCGTTTTGTAAGAAGTTCGATGACACTCTTGACTCTCTCAGCTAGAATGAGTGTCCGAAAAGCACAGAGTTGGTTGATTTGGGGACGCGGTTGCTCTATTTTTGGAGTTTGAATCGGGTTACTTAATGTTTTTGAACCTTCTATTTTCCCTGTCACGTTATATCTGGTTACAAACTGTTGCTGATTACACTATCAAATCTAACTTTCTCCTATCTTAATATTCTATGTACTTCGGATATCGATGTCCGATTCTCTTTAATTTCTGAGTCATCTTTTCATATATACGTTCAGTGACGTACATAATTGATTACGTATTTTCGAAATATTTGATTGCTTTTTTTATGAACGTAAGACAAAGGTCGAGCAGTACGAGTACGGAGTATGTACAAGATAAACTCGATTGATTTATTGATAATACTGTTAAAAGTGTATGTCATTAATACCGTGTAGAATATAGTCTGTAAATAGTCCGCACAATGCGCTGTTATTTTTCTCGAAAAACTGGAGATTACACGCAGTACGAAGAATCTAATAACAATTTAAAAGGATTATATAATCATACAACCTGTAGGACGCAAGATAATTAAAGGGCAGGTTGATTTTACTTAAAGAAATACAACGAACAGTAGTATTACAACTTGACCGATCACGATAGTTTTCTACAGTGAATATCATACGAGTTGTATGTGTCGATTACAGTTAGCATCGAAAAATATTCGACTCTCTTATACCTAGCTATTTTTATGTTCACAGAATGAAAATAGCTTTGGATATTGGGAATAAAAGATTTTATGAAAGACATTGAAAGTGGATTAACAATAATCCTCTTATGAGTACTAATGTATTAAATAAAATATTTTTTGTTCATACACCGAACCGGTATATAATTTATATTAATAATAATAACACATATTTACAGAATTTTGCCAATATGCTTGCAAGTGAAAAAATTGTATAAAGTGTTACATTATGTAATTTGAACAAGTGATTAGGAAGATGTTTCAAAATAATTAATATTTCATACATGAACTCCGGTTCTCAAAATTTACGAATTTATATTTATTTAAATAAATCTTTTACCCTGAAATTCTGATTGTATAGAAGCTCAAGCTTTTTGTTTGTTCGACAAAAATCAATTTCTGAATAATACTATTCTCTTTCAGAATAAATGTTTTTTTAATGCATCGTTGCCCTCAGTCTAGTATCATTACAATTGTAGATAGCGTTTATTTCAAGCTGTTTCATTAAGTATTGTAACAACTGGTTGTACATGATTTTGCAGTCATCTCCTTTTTAAATTTCCTCATATACTTTCGCTGTTGATACTCTCCAAGTTACAATAATACTATCGTTGATTTTAGGGGTTGAACGAATTTTCACATAA